GTTGTGTATTTCTGAGTAACTGATTATTAAATGTTCCCTCTGTATGAACTGAAAACCTCTTTTCTTAGGATGTGCGTCTCCTTCACATCTTTCCTTGACCTCATGATGTTTTTCATAGGTGTAAAGAATTTGTGGTGAGGAAAGGAGATGGTTATGAGGAAGACCTCCCCCTGAAGACCTCTGACCTGAACTTTGTTGAACAGGATGAGACTCTGCTAATGAAAAGTCAAATACTTTGTTTCCTGACACTTTTCTTTGACCCTAATGAAAAAACAAGGTGAATAAAGATAAAAACCTGATTTTCAGTTCATTAGTCTGAAAAGGTTACAGCTTCTGATTCAAACTAAAATCATCGTCCTGTGGTTGTTCAGTTTCAGTCAGACATTTAATTTACTGACTCATGACTTAACCTCTGAATTCCCTAAGGACAGAATTCCCTTCGTCTGTGACCCAAGTGAACGCTTGTACTATATTTGAAGATTGAATTCCCTCGAGGTGTGTTTAAAATGTGTTCACAAGGATGGAGCAACAAACTGACATGGAACATGAGAAAAACATCAAGAATCTTTTTATTCACAAATTGCTTAAATAAAACAAAGTTCAAGGACTGGAAACTGATCAGGAACCAGCTGCACGTCACAGTGACCGCTGACCTCTGACATAATCATCTTCTTCGAACCGCTTAATTCTCGTGACCTCACACTGTCAGATGCTGATTGGTTCCTGTTGGTTGTTTTGTCGTTTGACCACGAAAACTTTCTGTCCAGAAACTGTCACCGTGTAAACGTAGTCATCCAGAATCACTTGAGAACAGAATACAAAAGGTGAGTCAGAGTCATCTTACAGCGCCCTCTGCAGGTTAACACTGTGTGCGTCATGTGACAGTGCCCCCTGAAGGATAACATTGTGAGACTCATGGTACCTGACATGCGTTTGAAGGGCGGATCAGCTGATCCAGGTAACCTGAAGCGACTCGCCGTTCGAACCATCTCCATCATCACACATGCCGTGTGTTCATCGTTCTCCAGCTCACCTGCAGACTGACACCAGGGGTCAGAGGTCAGGATGTCATCAAGGTATTTATTAAAGCTGCAACCAACTATCATTTTGAATGGGGTTAACCCTAACCCATTTTTTTCATTAATTGATTATTAATCACATAAAAAGACAAAGACTACATTTTACAATTTCCAGCTGTTTATTGTAAAATGCTGTTTCTATTACAGACATCTGCAACTTATGATAACTTATGATGATGATTCCAGATTTAGATATCTACAATTTAATTCTGACTAGCCATGACCCAACCTCAAAATGTCTTAAATTCAGCTAAATTCAAGATGACGTAGTTTTAACTAGTCAGTATGGTGTTGTAGATATGATGGACCTGAATAATATTAATACAATATTTAATTACATTATAGATGGGGCTGGGTAATATTACACTAGATAATTATCGCAAAAGTAACGCAGTAGCTGTATCTCTGTATGTGTAACGCAGTAACAGTACTCACAGCCAGTACTCCGTCCTCGCTGATCACCAGGTAACCCAGCTGATCCGGGATTCTCTCCAGACCTGCTGTCAGGGCGGCGGTGGTCTGGGGAGAGATGCAAACTAACTGCTAACAGGCTAACTGCTAACATATAAACATCACAGTTGAATCATTTCATAAAGATGAAAAATATAAAAACACCCACCATCTTCTTCTTCTTCACTTCCGTATTCCTCGTGATCTTGTCACGTGACTGATGGGCCCTTCTTCTTCTTGGTTTTGTTGGTGCATTACCGCCACCAGCTGGTGTGGAGTGTGAATCTGTCATATCCATTCTATTGAGTTTAAAAACTTCTCTGTTATATCTGTTTTTCTAAGATAATCAAATATAAGATTACACTTGTAGGGTATCTCTTAAATACAAATTTACTTGAATCTAAAGTTTTACAATTAGCTTTCTTATTTCTTGCTCAAATTTCAGACAGTGTCATATAATGTGATGAACTGTTTCCCACAATAATTCAATTTCCTTTAGCAAAGTACTTTTGATATTATTGTTTCTTCCTGTCCGTCTCATTTCTCTCACTTTCCTTTGATCGTCCTTTCATGTCTTCCTCCCAAGCTTGCAGACACATCAGTGTATATATATATATAT